AAAAGCCCAGAGGCAAGTGGTAGCCAAGATAATTTAAGAAAAGCTGGCAAGAAACAGGCCAAGCTAGGGCTGGGCATTTCTAACTAAGAATAAGCCTCCATGTATGATTTATTTGGGAGCTGGGTGGTGGGCACCCCAAACAGTCAAAAGAGTAAAATATCACACAACACCCCTGTGTGCATGGCAGGCAGTACCCTGTCCCTTTAACAGGCAAAACTCTGCCTACCTCTTCCTCTCTCTGCATCTTTCTTTCCTTCCCTCCCTCCCCCCCTTTCTCTCTCTCTCTCTCCCCCCACAAGGCCTCTCTGTACTCCCTTTCTCTCTCTCCCCTCTCCATTCCCGTCCCCCAATAAAACTCCCCACTAAGCTCCACCTGCATGGCGTGTTTGTCCCTCAAGCACCATCTGTCCCTACCCGCCATGGTTTGGACCCACCTGCCAAGATCCAATCTCTTGCCGTATCATAACACTATAGCTACAAGAAATAGTCCAGAGCAATAAGCAGTACCACACAGCTTCACAGAACAGTAATAATCTATTAGAACATTTAAACCCTAAAGTCTGCCCTTAAGAGACACTACCCTGTCAAGGTGAACCTCTTATCGTAGGGTGAAAGAAAAGGCCAAGGAAAAACACCCTGATCCTGACGACCCCAGGACCGAGCTTGAAATCGCACCTGAGCTTGCCAGAGTCAGGCTGCAGAATCCCAACAATCCCTGATTTTGCTCCAGAATCAGACCACAAAAATCCATTAGTCCCAAACCACCCTGGAAAGTTCCCCCTCAAGAAATCCTGTATAAACTCTGTACACTGTTCTGCTTGCTACTCCCTCATCCTAGAGGCAGCCACCCTCCTGGATTCTTTCTTCCCAATAAATCTGGAGTGAAGTCTGTTGTGAGGTATGACATCTTTGACAGAGCAGAATTCTAACACTTTCTCTGGGGAAACTTTCCCCTGGTGGAGCAGAGTTGTCAGACTTCTCCGGATCGCTGGGGAAACCCTCCCCTGTCAGAGCAGAGTTGTTACATCGGGGAAACCTTATCCTATAGCAGGGCTGTAAGCAGCTAGGCTTGTGGTGACTTTGTGGTATTCCTTGGCTCCCAACTGCCAGGATACCTTTCCATCTGAGTCACAACACTCACACCTATCTCCTAGGCTACAACCATCTACAAAATGTATTTAGCCCCTATATATGATCTCAACATAAACTAATTTGAAGCCACAACAACAACTTAACAAAAACTGACAAACCAGAGGTGAAAGAATTCAGGGCTAAGCTTACCTTCTTACCACTACACTGGAATCTAATGGAAGAGTGTGTTCTCTTCAATGACAATGTAATGTTCTCAATTCAGACACTGAGTTATACTTCTCAGAGCATCCCACCACTTTATTGGCTTACTGGTAATGTTTTTTGAGTGTCAGAAGAATTGGTATTACTCTTGTGGTTGACATCTCTCATAATTTCCTTCCCCAAAACAATGTAAAATGAGAAGGAAGCTAATTACATTACAAAAATACCACCGACATGTCAGTGAAATGGCTTAGTGAGTAAAGGTGCTTGCTGTCAAGCATGACAACCTGTGATCCCTAGAACACATATGATGAAAAGAATGAACCAACTCCCGAAAGCTGTCTTCTAGCCTCCACCGGTGTGCCACGGCACAAACACATAATAATGAGGTGTGGATGTTGTTGTTCTTTTAAAATAACATCAGGGACTAGCAAGACAGCTCAGTGATTAAGTGTGCGTGCTGATCTTCCAGAGGACCAGGAATGCAATTCCTAGCACACACATCAAACAGCTTAAAACCACCTATAACTACAGATTGAGGACCCAATACTTTCTTCTGTCCTATTATGGGCACCTGCACACATGTGGCATACACTCACACAGACATACACATGTACACATAAATAAAATTCATCTTTTTAAAGTAATATCAAAATTCTCTATTTGAGGATGTTCTATGGGACAGTTCTTTAACAGACTCCCCTCACTATCCAAGTCTATCTAAATCTCTCACTCCTCAAACAAGGAGAGTCAAAGATTTGCAAGTTTGTTTTCTTTTTTGGGGAGGGAGTTGGTTTCTTCGAGACAGGGTCTTCCTGTGTAGCCCTGACTATCCTTGAACTCATACTGTTGACCAGGCTGGTCTCAAACTCACAGAGACCCTCCTGCCTCTGCCTCCTGAGAGCTGGGACTACTACCCAGTGCAAGTTTATTTCCTATAGACTTTAAACGGCAAGAGCTCCAGGCAATTAATGCTAGAAGCAATTCCATGTCTACATCTGTGTGTTCCAAAACCCAGAGTGATGAATATTGTCCAAGGATCAGTCAGTGCTTTTGCTCCGGAAGATCTCAATGAAAATTTATAGTTTGGAGAGATTTTGTTTTTATTTGCTTTATTCTTTTTTTTTTTTTTTGATGTTTTGTTTTGTTTTTTGAGACAGGTCTCACTAACTTTAGCCCAAGTTGATCCTGAACTCACCATCCTCCTGCCTCAGCCACCCTAGTGCTGAGATTTACAGGTATGTGTATACCTGGTCTTCAATTCTTTAAAATTTTAATTTTATTATTGTTAGTCATTACACAGAAATTATTACATAGCATATATTCATTGTCCAAGATGATGGACTTTGGTTTTGGTTTCTTTGTTTTGTTTTTGATACAGGGTCTCATGTAGCCCAGGCTGGCTTCAAACTCTCTACCTAAGATGAGGCTGACCTTGAACTCCTGCTTCTCCTACCTCTACCTCACTAGTGCTAGGTTTACAAGTGTTCACCACCACACCTACCTAAACTATTTTGGTTTTAAAGCAAAAAATGACAGGGATGGGGACAGAGTTCAGCAATAGATACCTCCCCAGCACCACGAAAGAGAGAGGTTGGGATAATAAGCATGGAGGAGCACAGGGTAGAAGCACACAATGGGACTCAAGTTACTGGTGACACAGACCTTGGGAGGGAGGAAGGCTCAGAGTGTTCTTTACACTTCTGGGCTCATATCTAGTAGTTTTGGTGTACATTTTTATCTACCAAATAGATTAAAAACAGGAAATAAAATGGACAAGGAAAATAGAGAGCCCAGAAACAAGCTCACGTAGTACCTGAAACTGTGATATACAGTATCAACAAATGTAAATACAGTATTAGGTTCCATAAAAAGAAAAACAACATGTAATAACAATTTTCTTTAAATGGCCCCTACCAAATAACAAACTAAACTCCAAAGATGAGATTTTAATTCTAGTCCCTTCTAAATTGAATGGAATCATCAAAATCCCATTTGGGGACTTCAGTTAATAAAGGAACATTCAAACCCCATCCCCCCATCAACTTGTCTCTTTTCTAAATCTCCTAATCCCAGAACACAGTTATAATTTTATACCTAGCTATTTTTAAAGGTTTTAAAATAACAGCACTTTACAAATTCAAAATTTTATGCTAGTATTTACTAAGCAGACTGTTAAGTCATTGATATTTGAAGCAGAGAAATGCAGATTGAAGGAGAATTTAAATTCATGATATGAATCTAATGAGTTTGCTCAGTAAAATGACATGAAGCTCAAATTCTCCAGATTATAGCAGTGAAGACAACCCAAATGCAGGGGACGCCCAACTCAAGCCAGCTACTGAGGCTCAACGTGAGAAAATTCTGCTAACCAATCCTAAACATGTCCGTGTCTAACAGACAGCTGTCATCCCTCCCTTTTCTCTTCTTTTCCTAGGCTTTCCTTCCTAGAACAAGCATCTTTAGTCCCCACAGACATCAATTATACACATTACTGTCTACAGCTGCTCCTGTACCCACTGCTACAACACTTTGATCTCACGGAGCTGTTCTCATACAGCAGATGCCTCCTCAGGATCTACCTGAGACACCAGAAAGAAAGAGGTATGCACCGTAGCCGTGAGTGCTAACCCAGGTGGTCAGCCAGTGAGGTGGCTCAGGAAAGCACTCACTACCAAGCCTGACAATCCAAGTTTGCTCCTCAGATCCACCTGCTGAACGAAGAGAACTCAGGTGAGCTGTCTTCTGACCTCCTTGGCATGCAATGTGGCACCTGTGCGCACGCACACACATACACACGATAGATAAAAGATTAAAAAATATTAAGCCCCCACTAATAAATGGGGCTGGGAATATAGCTCAGTCAGTAGAATGAAGTCCTGGGTTTGACTCCTAGTACCACATAAAACTGGGCTTGGTGGCATATGCTTGTAATCCCAGCACTTGGGAGACAGAGACAGGAGATTCATTAGTTTAAGATTGGGGTCAACCTGGGTTACATGAGACTCTGTCTCAAAGATATAAATAAGCAGGACAGTGGTGGCACAGGCCTTTAATCCCAGCACTCAAGAGGCAGAGGCAGGCAGATCTCTCAGTTCAAGGCCAGCCTGGTCTACAAAGCAAGTTCCAGAACAGCCAGGGCTACACAGAGAAACCCTGTCTTGAAAAACAAAAAACAAACCAACCAAACACCCACAAACAACAAAGTAAATAAATAAATAAGCCTCACAAGAACCCCAAACTTACCTCCCGCAATATGCAATAACTAGTACTGGGGAAGATGAAGCAGGATTGGGAGTTCCAATCCAGCCTAGCTACTTAGCGAGAACCTGTCTCAGTAGGAGCAATAGAAGGTTTCAGAGTCAGATAATACTGTGTTGTGTTGGTCATGTAGTAAACAGTTTAAAATTTTTGATTCAGTTGGCAGTAGCCTTGCGGAGGAATTCAGAGTCCTCTGGCTGGAGAACAGTATTTCATTTGTCCTCGTTTTCATTACAATTCAGGACTTTCGGAGTTGGGTGATGGTGATCTAATGACATTTATCAACCCACAGCACAGTTTGGGGCAGGGTGCGGGTGTCGACCACATATGGGTAGGTCAAAGAGTAGGAAACTCCTCCATATACTCAAACAAGCCCATGTGGGCTCAGGAAAAACCAGGCTCACAAATCCAGATTCTCAAAATTCCCGGACTCTTACGTTCCTTACCATCGGTACCAAAGTATGGCACTGATCATATTCTGAGGTTAAAAATAACCTCATTCTGTTGGAGCGAATCGGTCCCCAATATCTGTAATCAAGAGGACAGACTTGGCTTTCCTGAAAGAAGAAATGAAGTCACAATTTCACGGACAGCAGAACCCACAATGTGTTGTTCTTAGCTGTTCTCCGAGGAAACGCAAAATCTATCACATTTCGAACAGTATTTGCCAGGCTGGGTGCCAGGCGCCTTAAAGGGACTGTTTCGTTCCGTCCAGGTTCTGAAACAGGCATTGCTATGTCCGTTTACAGACGAAGACTGAAGCCTAGAGAGGTCAGCCAGCCTAGCTGGGGTCAGCCAGGGACAGTCACTCGAGTCCCTGCTGGGACTTTAAATGTCCCCGGAGGGCGTTTAAAGCCCCAGTGACGTTGGGGGGGAGGGGTCCGCTGAACCGCTCTGGGCTTCAGTTTCCACTCAAAACGCTCGGCGCCAGGGCAGGTACCGGTCGTCACGGACCGGGCGTCTGCAGCCAGAGCGGCGGGCGGGCACCACGCGCGGCCGGGAGCACAGACCGCAGCGACGCGCATCAGCCCCCGCAGGCGCGACGGCGCTGACACCACGGGAGAGAGGAACAAAGCCCGGCCCTGTAGGCCACGGTGACTCAAGGGCAGGGCGGCGACATCGCCTGCCCACAGCCCCGTCTCCTAGGCAGCGGGACTGAGAACTTGGCTCACCTCCGGCCGGAGTTGCAGGCCGGTGCCTCCCCTCCACTCAGCGCCTCAGCCGCCATCTTCCGCGGCACTTCGGTCCGCGGCCCCGCCCCCGAAACCTTAGATTGGCAAGAGTGTTTCTTCGAGCCCCCTACGATTGGATGGACCTATGGCCCCGCCTACAAATGAGCGGTTTCATTCTATTATTGGTCTATTCAAATACCTAATTGTCATTGGTGTTGCAGAGCAAAAGAAAGGGTGGGAACACTGTCCCGAGACCTGCCGGGAGCTGTAGTTTTTCGTTTCGATTAACCCGTGTAATTCCACTGACATTTAGGATATAGTCAGGAATCCCAGTCTACACTTTCCACACACACCCCAATAAGTAAATCTAAGACATACAAAACTGTCGATTTTGAAAGTGACTTTAGCAGTCGTTTGAATGGGCTTGTGAGGCCCCGCCCACCCCTGAGTTCTGTAGGCAGTTAACGGTTGGTAGGGGGAAAGGGCTCATGACCCCTCATACTTACCCGGGATCCATAGATTGTAAGAGGGACAGAAAGACATTTTCTTCAATGGTATTTAGTCACTGGTAAACTGCACATGTTTCTCCAAGCAACCTTAAGTAAACTCATTGAGACACACACACATACACACACACACATACACACACACACAAAAGGTTACTCTATGAAATGAAAGATTGAGACCAAGAATGTCAGGCAAGAACAGTGGGTCCCATATCTTCAACTTTGTATCCAGAGTTCCCCACAGCAGGTCTAAAACTTCCAGGGGAGAAGTTAAGGAGGGTTTATACTGAATGTATACACACCTTTTCCTTCTTGTTATTCCTTAGCAATGCATTTTTTAAAAGATTTATTTATTTATTATGTATACAATGTTCTACTTGCATGTGTCCCTGTAGGCCAGAAGTTGGCACCAGATCTTATTAGAGATGGTTGTAAGCCACCATGTGGTTGCTGGGAATTGAACTCAGAATCTCTGGTAGAACAATCAGTGCTCTTAACTGCTGAGCCATCTCTCCAGCCCCAGCAATGCATTTTAAAAGCCTTCGGTATTACAACCTAGATATGATTTAAATATAAAGAAGGAATGAGTAGGTTTTAAGGAAAAATCTATGTCTTTTTGTTTTGTTTTGTTTTTCAAGAGAGGGTTTCTCTGTAGTTTTGGAGCCTGTCCTGGAACTAGCTCTTGTAGACCAGGCTGGCCTTGAACTCACAGAGATCTGCCTGCCTCTGCCTCGCGAGTGCTGGGATTAAAGAAAATCTATGTCTTAGTTAGGGTTACTATTGCCGTAATGAAACACCATGACCAAAGCAACTTATGAAGGCAAGGGTTTATTTGGTTTATACTTCCACATCACTGTTCATCACTGAAGGATGAGGACAGGAACTCAAACAGGAAATAAACCTGAGTTGGAGTGTTGGCAATTCACTCCAACTCAAACGGTAGGAAAGACTGTCCCTGGGTTCCTTGGTGAGGCCCTAAACTTTGTAAGGCCCTGGACCCCAGGCTTCCCTAACAGCGCTAACAGCCATTTTCTAAGAGCTATAACAGCCTTTTCCAGATCTGGACCGAGAGTGATCAGTCCCTGCCCTACAAGAAAAATTCCCACCAATCCCAGAACTCGCCTCAAGATCAGACCACATAATCCCTCCAATCCCAGGCCATCCTGGAAAGCACTTCCCTCCCCCGCCCACACACACACACACACACACACACACACACACACACACACACTCCTAGAAACCCTATAGAAACCTTGTGTTCCGGCCCAGGTTTCTGTTTCTCTGCCAAGCAGAGGCAGCTATCTTGAGTTCACCCTTCTTAATAAATCCCATGTGAAGTTTGCTGTGCAGTGTGACTTGTTGTATTCCTTGGCTCCCGACTGCCAGCATACCTTCCCATCCGAGCTGCTGAAGAAACGGATGAAGAGGCCATGGTGCTTTCTACTGGCTTACTCCTCACGACTTGCTCAGCCTGCTTTCCAATAGAATCCAGGACCACCAGCCATGATGGGCTAGGCTCTCCCACAGCAATCTCTAATTAAGAAAATGCCTTACAGGCTTGCCTATAGGCAGAGCTTATGAAGGCATTTTCTCAAGTGAGGCTTCCTTCTCTTAAAATGACTAGCTTATGTCATATTAATATAAAACAAGCAAGCAAAAATTACTTCATTTAATATTATTTCTATTTTATAATTGTTCTTACGGATATTCTGCTTGATGTGAGCGTCACAAGGCAGATTTCCTGCCCTGTGGGCAAAAGCTACATCTGTTCTGTTCCCCATCATGTCTGCCACTTTGTAGCCGTGCAGGAAAACAAAAACTTTTGAACAAATATAAGCAAGTCCTCAAACCACCATATCCAGATAGTTACATGTTCTAATAGAGTTTTTCAATGGTGAATTTCTGTTAAAAGTCTTTTGACTATGGACCAGGGGACTCCATGGCCAAGCTCTTGCTGTGTGCAACCCTGAGGACCTGAGTTCAGGGCCCCAGAACCCAGGAAAGCCAGGCATGGCAGTCTGTACCTGGAGCCCCACCACCTCTGCAGCTGGAGAAGTGGAAAGAGGAGACCAGAGGAAGCTCATGGGCCACCTGGTCTGGAGTCCCCGGAGAAAATCAGCAAGAGCCCTTCTCTCCAGGTGAAAGATAAGCACCAAGACTCAAAGCTGTCCTCCGACCTCTGTAAGTCCACTGTGCTATATGTGTGTCCACACTCATACCAATGAACATATGCACACATAAAAGATTTTTAAGTTTGATATAAAAATTCCAAGCTGTGGAGGCCCATAGAAGTGGCTCTGCTCCATCTTGACATAAGGTCAGAGAGTTTGAACCTCTTACTACTCCTACAAGGTCAAGCAACAGGATGTTTTTGCCCAAGATGAAGTTTCTGTACATCATGCCTAGATAACAGGATGTTTGGCCTGAGGTATAGTGACTGGATTTTTTTGCACCACATAACAGGATGTTTGACTTAGGACACAGCTATTAGATGTTTTGAATATTAAGAAAGTGATCAGTATTGTTTGTTCCTTGTATCATGATAAAAAAAAAAAAGTTCTTTCGCCCCCACCTTTGGCTTGGGATATAAAAATAAACTTGGGGTGGATTCAGTATTCACTGGAATGCACTCCCAACTCTACCTCAGTCTCTTGTCTATGTTTTCCTTAATCCATACTCCCCTTCTCAAGAATGTATGGACAGGACAACTGGATTGAGATACCAAGTAAAATCAGTTTGCCTAATAAATCATTTTTTGGAAAATATATGAAAGTAAATGAAAATAACATGTATCAGTAAAATTTTTTTCTTCTTTTCCAGTGTGCTGGACCTCAAACGCAGGGGCTTGAATACACTAAACAAGTATTGTACCGCTGAGCTACACAGCCAACCTTTTGGTGAAATCCCCCACTAAACCTCAGCTGAAACTCTAGGACATATGAATCATTATCTGTACAAATCAGAAACCTGAAGGCTTAACTTCCACCCTTGACCCAAAATAAGAACAAGTATTTTAAAATTATCTTTAGGGCTTTTTTTATGTGTATGAGTGATTTGCTTGCATGCATTTTGCATGCATTTATACACACCACATGCATGACTGGTACTCTAGGAGGTCAGAAGAGGATGGAGTTAGGCATTCAGGTGTGTGTGTGTGTGTGTGTGTGTGTGTGTGTGTGCGCACAAAGAAAGCCACCTGCAACAGAATACGCTCAGAACTGTGAAGCATTAGATATCAAAGCAGAAAACAGACTCCCACAAGTGCAGATGTGTGACAAGGGGAAGACCAGCCTGTCACAGAGGGTCCTGCAAGGGTCTGGCCTTGTTACCTGAATGCCATTGCCAATCCATCAGCCTACTTTCAGACTACTGGGAGGGAAAGGTGCTGTTCTGATACTCTTCAGGTTTCTAGGCTCAGTCTTGATGGAGGGGAAGGAAGGAAGAAAGGAAGTAGAAGAATTGAGGCAGAGGGATCTGCCCATGACTCGGCCTCTGTTTCCACCCTCAAAAAGGCCCCAAGGGGTCTTCCTAGGTTACATCCTCTACTGTGCAGTTTTTGTTTGGTTCTGCGACATGGTCTCCTGTTTAGCCCCAGGTGGCTTAGAACTAACAACCCTCCTGCCTCAATGGGCTGAACATTGGGATTGCAAACTTGCTTATTGCCCAGTGCTGTCTTAGGTGTCTGTTCTTCTCATCCCTCCATATTATAGCAGAGCAAAATCTCATAGCTGCAATATTTCTGAACCTTGCCTAGTGTTGAGCCTGATAACAGTCAGAGTAAGGGTACCCACTAAGGCCTTTGGTTGTTTTCTAGTTATTTCATTTTTGAAATGGGGTCTTGGACAACTCAGGTTAGCCTCATCCTTCCTGTGTAGCCAA